AGTACTGGACCCGAACAATAGTGATGAATGATTATGACTTGTACACATGCGATAACTTAATAATTATATTCAAGGCTATATACATTGAGAAAAACCGAATCAGCTCAGTTCAAACCCAGTCTCTGAATGGATTGCGTAACGTAACTTCGACAATAGCACAGATTTCTTGTTGTAGTTCGGCAGTTTCAGAAGATTGAAACATGTCGACGCTATAAAAAAAAACTCTCAACCATTCATTTCCAGGTGATAAAAAGCCTATGTAAGTATTGACGACAAGCAAGGAGAAAAAAGAGAAAAACTTTGGATACGTAAATTTTAGCACCTGTCGGTAGTCGTGATGAAGATTGGCTTTTTTTCAAGGCAAGAAACCCTCTTACAACGCTGCCTAAGGTGTCACCCTGATCCTAAAATTTTCAAATAATGAAATTAATACTAGACAGTTGTAAAAACTGAAGTCGAAATGAAAGATAAATGTTACTTGATCATCCGAAACTTCTACGCAACGTATCGAAAACGGCGGTTCGAGGTAAGAAAATCCCAGCAGAGGAGGACGTGAGCAGCTTGTGACAAACTTCAAATATAGATTTCAAACGAACTGATTCTTGTAAAAAATGCTGTAGAAACCTTGAGGAATAATCTTCGCTCATCTGCAGTGAAATCTTTTTCAACAATCTCCCACAACCATTTGATCAAACGATGGCTACCATGGAAACCTCCGTAATATTGAACATGCTTCTTCAAGTCTGCCAAATCGATATCACTGGAAATACAATTAAATATACGAAAAGTGCTATATTTTTGAAACATCAGGGGAAATGTCTGTTTGGTGATACCACCAGTCAGAATTAGGATTGAAACAAATTCATCTGAGATGTTTCCTACGGTACGATGCATAAGTCGCATGAGATTATAAAAAAGAATGATATGGCGTGAGAACTCGCCTAGTGTATCCACTAATAATGAACTGCAGTTCATGTGGCGCAAATAGGAACAACCAGGCTGGATTCAACACCGACTGGGCGCCTGCGACAAAGGCACGGCATTGCTGTTTCGTTTGTGAGAATACCCGATGATGTGCCATGCGATGGACGTAATCAATCCTGGAATGCATTCGCATTTTTTTTCAAATTATACACCATAATAACTTACTTATTCTCATTGGTAACTTGTATGGTTCGACCTCCTGGAACCAAATCCACAGTGTTAATCTGAAGTTGCAAGAACTAGCCAAAAAGCTTTAACATAAACTAGTAACTATTAGAACCGCTACTGTTATAACTAAACTCATTTCAAATGTAATCGGTAAAACATCAAAAGATAGTTGCGAAATTGGGCAAAACATGTAATCATTCAAATCATCTCCTTCGTATCAACATGAGTAAATTACCTTTCCCATGAAATCTTCATCGATTGAAAATGTTAGTGAGAGGTCGCTAACATCGCCATCGTATTTTTTGACAAAGGTGAGATTGCGATATAATTCAGGATCTAACTGCGACAATTCGTCAAAAGCACACAGGCGTCGTCCACCAAGCATCTAAAAGTAATCAACGACAGGATAACAATGAAAATAAAAAAATTTCGAATCAACTTACTGCAGCAAGCAGTACAGGTGCAAGCTGCACATCCACTACAATACCCTCGTAAACAGCTTTTGCTAAAATTCTTCCAACAAACTGAAATAGCGCCAGATGATCTTCGTGTACACTCGATGTAGAGGAAGGATAGAGTACACCCGCTGCAGTGCTCTGAACAGGTACTTTATAGAATTGCAAGTAGTGATGTGAACGTGAGGGGCGAAAAAACCTACATGGAATAGATTCAGAGCTGGATCGAAAACTTGTTTTATAGTCAGTTCAAGAAATTCTTTAAACACACCATCTTGATCTATACCCGCTTCATCAAGACCCTAAAAATGGGTTACCTTTGAATTTTGCATTTTCAGCGTATCATTAATGACCAAAGTTAGATAGTTCTGAAGCCAAAAGTATAATCCAACAAAGTTTGGTAGAGGAAATCAAAACCCTAACAAAGCTATAAAACAGACTTGCTGGTTGATAAATTTCACACGTATAGTGGATTTTAATGCTCGTGTAGACAACAAAGAAAGCTGCCTATAACCATCCTCAACTAGCCGATTTCGAGCTACTGTAATTAAAGTAGCTGTGGATTCGATATTAGCCTGAAACCGAAACATAAAGAAGTTACAGACAGTTGCATGTCTTAAGTACCTTGTCAGCGCTAACGAATTTTCGGAACAGCAACATCCTCTCTTTTAGTGAGACAAGGTGGCTCATACGGCGCATTAATAGAAGTCCTCTTGATGTTTTCTTTTCGAACTCTGCCATCAAAACTGAGCTCTTTATATCCCTAAAGTACAAAATGCAACAGATATCGGTTGAGCATCATGAAGAACTCATGGGAAAACATAGACTCACGGCGCCAGCCAAAACTTGGGGTCGTTCACAAAAGTTCTTCGGCTGTCGCGCACATGAAGGACCATACACAACTGATGGATACTTGAAAAAAGACCTTGATCCGATAACTGATCGTCTTAATGATAAAGTTGCTTGAGAGAAATAAAACAAATAATTTTAAGGAAAGTTTTACCTACGTAACCATTCCATACAGCTTTGAAGCAAAAATAATTACAAAATCGCGCAATATTAACAAGCTCTTCAGTTGGAAACGGTACACCACGATCGTACAGCTCCTCTTCATCCAAAATGCTTAAACATTCCAAAAATTTTTCCAAAACTTGAAAATAGGTCTTTTGCAAAAAAATGATATCGAATAAGGACAATATATCCTAATCACTCACGATATGACTATAGCAGCAGCATCGGCGAACAAGCGAAGTGGAGCAGCGTGAGGGCTCTGAGGGCGTGATAGTAATGCCAGAGCGGCGTTCAGTGGCGAGCAAGACAAAGAGGGTGATGAGTGCTTATCTGCGCCCCATCGTACAAGATATGCCCATAACTGTCGGAGGATTCGATCTTCACGACAAACGCCTGAATGGTTGTGTATGGCTCATTAAGAAATTGATCGCACACTAGTTTTAAGCTTGCCAGCAATGATTTCATTCTTCATGTTGGCCATTGTCGACAATGCGGTCATATATAGCTTGCAAACGACAGCAGCCAAAGTAGGAGGAGTTTCCTTCTCATGGTCTCCAGCATGTGGAGACTCAAAAGTGGATCCACCTCCCAACTTTTTCCACAGCTCTCAAATAAAAATGATTAGATACAAATAAACAAAGTGAAACCAGATATATCCCACATTTAGGAAAAAGCGGAAGAGACATACTATTAAAAGTCGCTCCAAGTTCCTTTACTTGGACATGACCATTCGATCGATTTAGATCCACTCCCTCGAGAGCTTTATCAAACAACCTACACACAATCCTGTAGCTCCAAAGCATTTGCAATTGCTTTTGAACATTACGTAATGACCTTTCCGTTCTAAAAGTAAAACGATCATCAACCGTACGAAAAAGTAAAAGCTTTCAATCACTTAGGGTCAATAGGTAATTTGTAATGGCCAAATATTGGATGCCAGTGATTGTGACTCGATTGCTCCCCAGCGCGAACAGCAAATTCTACAATTAAATGTATCACGAGATATCACTTCTTAAAAATGTAAAAATACCTGTACACTGAGCCATAGCCAATCCAATCACCCATGTCCAATCGACAATCCGCCCTTTCACTGTCTTGATGGAAAACATTAAAAATGTAAGAAATGCAAAATCAAAGCAGTAGTTACCTCTTCATCTAGGTATCCCAGATGAATCACATTTCCAAGAAGATTGATAGTTTTTTGCGGCTCAATTCCTTCCACTATATCTGAGGAGCTTCTCAAGTGTGTCAAACAACGATCAAACAAGTTTGAGCTAAGGAACAGGTCAAGATTCTAGAAAAAAGTGAAGCTGTGAGCAATTTGTTAAGTTGGGGTACGAACGAGCTCAATACCCATTTTTTTAAGATGAGCCGCATCCTGGAAGCGCTATCGGGTTTAGAACTAACTTGCGGGCAGCAACTGATCCTGACTGCACTTGGCGCACCCACGCGCAGCACAGCTTTGATGGATATGATCAGCACAGCTGAGAAAAGGGTTATGGCGGATGATGTGTCCGAAAAATGCTCGCAGATAAGACCACAACTTGTTCATCTCTTACGGCGCATTCTGTGGCAGAACCGGGAGTGCTGCCTTCTTATGCCCAAAGAGCGAGGCGAAAAAAAGTAAAAAGTGACAAAACATGGGAGTATGTTTTAGTTTGTCGCTTTCCGCGTTCTCCCTCTCCTTCCTAAAAAAAACTGCGGAGTATGAGCGATGCGCTAAGCGTTGGTCTTGAGCCCGATATAGCCTCTCAGGGTGCAACTTTTCAACATATTTAAGGTACTTACACCTTTGTTCAAATGAAGAATGATGGCAGGGCAAGTGAGGACGTGAGTTATGAAAATTGGCAGCAGAGAATAGTTGTTTTTAACATGCTTTATGATGATCGTAAACAAAGCATTCAGCGCTTGACTGCTAATCACAGGTTTGTGTTCATTCGATGCAAGGAAGAGCGAATTCTGCAATGAACATCGATCAACAAGAAATCAACAAAAATCAACAAAGGAGGAAAAACCGATTCCACTTCTGCGACGCATTAAAACCATACATAAAATTAGAAGCAACTCTTGATTTTGATCCCGAAATTAAGACGTACCGCAAGCCGTGTGAAGTTTGCTTGTTCTTCTAGCGAGCAGCAAAGTTTACCGCACAAATCATTGAGCACTTTTTGAATCTGAATGCATAAAAATTTCCTTTAAGATCAAAATGAGCAGCTCAGAATTGGCACTATTAAATCCACATACTCATATCTTTTTTGTCTTTGTTTACTCAACCGCTATCAAAACAAAAAAACTTTTAAACTTGTCAGACAAAGTTTTTTTTGTAAGTTGAGAACTGGAGAATTGAGAAGTGTCCCTCAAACTCATTTTAAAAAAATTTAAAAAATAATATGAAACGTAGACGAACAAGATCTGAATTGCAGCACCTGAGGGGCATTTCGAACAAGGAGCCAACCATTACATGAGCCTAGCACAATTAGAAAATGAATGAACGTTTGCCATGTCTTCACTTCGGAGACCCGGGCACCCTAAAGTCAAAGATGGTGCAAAAAATAAAAAAGAGAGCGACTAAATAGCCGACCGATATGTACATGAGCGATTGAGGAATGCAGGAGATGATGGTCGTCGTAACTTTGGTCGCAGGTGCTAGCGTGGTTTTGTTAAGAAACATTGTTGCCCAGTTCGTATCCTTGGATGATGATTCCAAAGAAAGTATTATGTGACGACATAACTGGGCTAGTGTCTGGAAAATATGTTGAAATTCAAAGACTTTCTATGCAACAAGGCATAAATTGTGATATCGCAAATTCGCTCAGCGGAATTCCTTCGGTAGCTATGGATTATGGAGCAGGGGATAAGGGAACAATAGAGTTAACTTATTAGCTTCTCACAGAGATTCGATTTGGATACGACTAAAAAACTCTACCAAGATGATCCGTATAAAGCTCAAGATTTAACTAAACTCAAATTGAAGTTCATGCGATGTTATGCTATTACTGTACCGATTTTCTAACAGAAGTGAGGATTATTTCCAACGTTATAGAAGCTGTTGCGTAAATTCAGACTTCCTTTCGACAAAAACAATAATAATGACAATATGCCAAGCCTAGGAGCCAAAATTATTGGAACTTCTAGAGTGGCTACCCTGGATGTTTACAGCAAGTAAAATATTGCCATCGCAAAGCTTTTGAGCCGGTAGCACATTTCATTTAGCCAATTTGAATCGGTGCCTTCTTAACTGTGGGGATTAGAGTGAAATACCGTGGAGCTAATCAGTTATTCAATTGAAATAAAAGCGAATCAACAAAGGCTTGTCTGTGCAAACTTGAGCAAATTGAAAAGTTTGAAAAAAATTACCTCGTTGTCTTCAGGCAGATGTTTTATTCGCAAAAACAGCTGACTCCACTTTAACACTTCCTCGTTAGGGAGCAACGTTTTTCCCTGTTTTTCCAAATCAGTAAACTGAGAAAATTTGTCGGAGAACGTTGATCTGTAAAAGACTTGCAGCACCTTATCCACTGATTAGTACTTCCGCCTACCGTATGCCATCCACAAACTTTCTCCTTGTCAAGCAGCCTCGACCGAGTGCTTGTAGTTTTATCGCAACGTCATTGTGTATACGCTGAAGTTCTCGTTCTCTCCTCTGAGCTGCGGCCTCCGCCAAGAACTGACTACGTTCGTCCATATCCTATCATAATCTGCCTGCCAGAAGATATGGATATTCACTGAATCCAAGAAGTTACAGACCCTATCAAAACAAATTTTCGGGTTGGAATGTTAGATAACTGGAGGAAATTATTTTGAAGTGCACTAGTAAGTGTTGGGAAACGATAGCATAACCCCTTATTTAGACCATGATTGTAAAATTTTGCTAGTGTACAGAAAGAAAATAAAATTGCTAGCGTATGGATAAAAAAGCTCTCAAAAGAGCGCCAAAGAAAAATGAGGACAAAGGGTACCAAATATATTGGTTCTGCTCGTAAATCCATTTATGAAAAATATGCCAGGTAAAACTTTAAGCACACGAAACCAGATCATCACATGTTTTAGGACGAAGTGGTGTGCAAGATGTGACTACCTTGTACATGATTCTAGTGAAATTTGAAGCTACAAGGCAAGCTTTCATGATGCTTACAAAATCAAATTCTAACTGACCGAAGATATTGACTTGAAGCACAAAAAAGCGTGGTTGTAGCATCTACTTAATTTTTTGTTCATGTGATCATTTCAGTTCGAATTCTTTACAGATATATAACGGCTAATGAACCTCTAAATAACATGAAAAGCTTTAAGAGAAAAATGAGATTTATTGCTTGAAAAAAAGAGCATAATGGCAAGAAATAACGAGATCATCTACTGCATATGAAGCACCTTTGAAGCGTGTACAGTGCTTGACTAGCATATCCACAGGGCAACAACAACAGCTAGTAAAAAGT